AGCAGTGAGTGACGAGCCCAGCTGCGGGTTGCCAGGGCAACCAGAGGAGGTCAGCTGACCAAAAGGGGCAGGGCCAGGCTCCCATATAAAGCCCAGGGGCTGAGGCCAGGCTGGCAGTTCCCTGCCAGCAGCCAAGGGGGAAGGAACACTCTCTCTCAGAAGAGAGGGGAAGCCTGACTGAAGGAGCAGCATCTGACACGGCTGAGGAATGGAGTATTCCCCGGTAGGCTGGAATGTTGTTATAGCCAGGCAGCTTCCATTTAAGTTATAGCCGAGGGGCTTGTGTTTGGTTTGCTGTTTGTTACCGGTGGTTTGGGTGAGGCTAATAGGGGTTGGAGGAGGCTTCATAGGGGACCCACAGCAGCGTGGGGACCCCAGGGCCAGCGAGGGCGCAGCATTTGGGGTGCACTGACCCCAGCCCCAGAAAGGGGGCAGTTGAGAGGCCCCAGAGAGAGGGGCGTTGATGAGAAGCCCCAGTGCGGGTGTGGTGAGCCCCAGAGAGGGGGTGGCACTTTGAGAAGCCCCAGAGAAGGGGACAGCATTTTGGAGAAGCCTCAGAGAGAGGGGGCAGTGTTTTGGAGAAGCCCCAGAGAGAGCGGCAGCATTGTGGAGAAGCCCCAGAGAGAGGGCACCGAGTGAGACAGGGCCGTGGAGAGCCCCAGGGGCAGAGGGGGCAACGAGCAAGAGAGGGCACAGATCAAAAGAGGCAGGGCCTGGAGAAGACAAGGGGGCCAGATTATAAACAAGGCCCAGACTGAACAACGTCAATTCCAGCTGCGAGGCTTGGGGCATAGTAAAGGAGTGGTTGGAGCCACACACAGCCCATAAGGCTAGGGTGCCCCGAAACACCCACTATAGAACGGGGCCCACAAAGGGGTCCAGGAGCCCATGGGGCTCGGAGCACATCTAAACTGTGTCCAAGAAGACTTGAAGGCAGCCTCCCTAATATAGTTGAACACCAAAGACATGGCAGGCGAGAATTTGAGGGTGCCCTTGGGCCAACTTGGCACCGGAAGGGGGCCTTGAGGAGATCATGGCCCTCCTGCAGGACCCTGTGCCTTGACGCATATGATTATCTGCAATGTCATTCTGTTGTTTTTGTTGTTAATGGTTGCTCTCAGTCAGTTTCCCCCCCCCCATCATATTTTTCTATACATTAAGCAAATGTATAGAAAAATCATAGGTCTGCCAGAAAAATACAAGGCATAATAAGTGATTAAGACAAGTGCTGCTGAAGCTTTTGGCCTTGCTGGCCAGATGGGTGAGGCACAGCTAATCTGTGTGCCAGATTGAGCCCTATAGGCCAGGATCGGGCTACACAGGGCCTTGCCTGGTCCTCACATGTGAGGATTGGTTCCTCGAGCATGGTGCTTTATCATAGATTTCATAGACATTAGGGCTGGAAGGGACCTTGGAAGATCATCGAGTCCAGGCCCCCGCCCGAAGGGCAGGAAGTCAGCTGGGGTCATAGGATCCTAGCAAGATAAGCATCCAATTTTTTTTGAAGGTGTTCAATGTAGGTGCTTGAACCACCTCCGGTGGCAGGCTGTTCCAGACCTTTGGGGCTCGGACAGTAAAGAAACTCTTCCTTATGTCCAGCCTGAAACGGTCTTGCAGTAGTTTATAACAGTTCGACCTCGTCATCCCTTGGGGCGCTCTGGTGAACAAACGTTCCCCCAGGTACTGGTGGTCACCCCTTATATGCTTATTGGTGGCCATCAGATCACCCCTGAGCCTGCGCTTTTCCAGGCTAAAGAGCCCCATAGCTCTCAGCCTGTTGTCGTAAGGTCTGTTTTCCTGACCTGTGATCATGCACATGGCTCTCCTCTGGACTCTCTCAAGCTTCTCCTCATCCTTTTTGAATTGTGGAGCCCAAAACTGGACGCAGTACTCCAGCTACGGCTTCACCAAGGCCGAATACAACGGGAGAACGACGTCCCGGGATTTACTTGAGAAGCATCTATGGATGCAAGCCAGTGTTTTGGTCACTTTACTAGCCGCAGCATCACACTGAAGGCTCATGTTCATCTTGTGGTCAATGATGACCCCCAAGTCTCTTTCTTCTGTAGTGCTAGCCAGTGTAGCACTGCCGAACCTATAAGGATGCTGCAGGTTTTTCCTCCCGAGGTGGAGAACCTTGCATTTTTCAGTGTTAAACACCATCAGATTCTCGTCTGCCCATTTGCTGAGCCTGTCCAGGGCAGCCTGGATCATCCTCCTCTTCAGGTGTGGATGCTTTGCCCCAAAGTTTGGTGTCATTGGCAAACTTGGCCAGTTCGCTTCTGACTCCAGTGTCCGCATCATTAATGAAGATGTTGAACAATATGGGTCCAAGGACAGAGCCTTGGGAGACCCCACTGGTCACAGGGCACCATGACAATCGACTTCCATCAATTACCACCCTCTGGGTCTGACCACGGAGCCAATTTCCCAGCCAGCAGATCGTGATGGACCCAAGGCCACAATTGGTCAGTTTTGCCAAGAAGTGATCATGGGATACCAGATCAAAGGGTTTTTTGAAGTCAAGATATATGACATCAATCTCTTCTCCCTTGTCCAGGTGATTGGTCACCCTGAGCAGTGGGATTAGTCTCTTGGGCCCAACACTGTCCCCTCCCACCTGGATTGGGCCCTGGGGCCCACTGCTGCTCCCTCCTACCTCCTGTGTTGGGATTGGGCCTTGAGCCTCAGCACTGCTCCCTCCTACCCCCATGTGCAGGAATCGGCTCCTGGATCTTGATGCCAACCCCTTCCACTCCTGTGTCTTGCTTCTGCTCAGCCTCAAGTGCTGGGATCAGGTGACTGATCCAGCATTTAGAGCCTGGGGAGGTCCTCACAGGTCCGGAAATTTGGCAGCAGCAGAGTGGTGAACATTTTCCACTTGTCTGGGAAGTATGGGAAAGCAATTCAATTACATTATTGTTGATAAATAATGACAAGTAATCCCAACTATAAAACAAATTTTATATCATAAAGTTCTCTGTGTTGGGGAAGTACAAATTCATGGTTAGGGCACTTGCCTAGAACTCAGAGGGCTATGTTCAATTGCAGGTTATGTCATAGACTTCCTTTGTAACTCAAAAGAAATTGCTTCATAGAATCATAAAAATTAGGGTTGGAAGGGACCTCAGGAGTTCAGCTAGTCACAATTCCAGCCATCCCCAATTCTGCTCAAAGCCAGGCCATCCCCAATTATGTCATCCCAGCCAAGGCTTTGTCTAGCTGGATCTTAAAAACCTTCAAGGATCAAGATTCCACAACCTGTCTGGGTAACCTGTTCCAGTGCTTTACTACCTTCCTTGTGAGAGAGTTTTTCCTAATATTTAACCTAAACTTCCCTTGCTGCAACTTGAGACCATTCATTGCTCCTTGTTCTGTCATCTGCCAAAAGGTGCATCATATCCACTGGTCTGTCCGCATCCACAAAGCCAGTCATTTTGTCATAGAAGGCAATTAGATTGGTAAGGCATAACTTGCCCTTGATGACTCCATGCTGGCTGTTCCTGATCACTTTCTTCTCCTCCAAGTGCTAAGAAATGGATTCTTTGAGGACCTGCTCCATTATTTTTCTGGGGACTGAGGTGAGGTTGTTTGGTCTGTAGTTCCCTGGATCCTCCTTCTTTCTTTTCTTAAATATGGGCACTATATTTGCCCTTTATCCAGTTGTCCGGGACCTCCCCCAATGGCCATGAGTTTTCAAAGATAATGTCCAGTGGCTCTGCAATTGCATCAGCCAACTCCCTCAGATGCATTGCATCTGACCCCATGGACTTGTATATGTCCAGCTTTTCTAAATAGTCCCTAACCTGTTCTTTCACAACTAAGGGCTTCTCCCCGAACTGGGCTGTCCAGTGCAGTAGTCTGGGAGTTGATCTTGCCTGTGAAGATTGAGGTAAAAAAGGCATTGAGTACTTCAGCCTTTTCTGCATCCTTTGTCATTTGGTTGCCTCCCCCATTCCATAAGGGATCCACACTTTCCTTAACCTTCCTCTTGTTGCTAATATACTTGTAGAAACTCTTCTTGTTACCGTTCACATCCCTTGCTAACTGCAACTCCATTTATGATTTGGCCTTCCTGACTTCATGCCTGCAGGCCTGAAGAATATTCTTATACTCCTCTCTAGTCATCTGTCCAAACTTCTACTTCTTGTAATCTTCCTTTTTTGTGTTTGGACTCACTGAAGAGTTCTCTGCTAAACCAAGCTGGTCTTCTGCCATACTTGCTAAGTCTTCCTGCACATCGGGATGGTTTGTTCCTGCCCCATCAGTAAGGATTCTATAAAGTACAACCAACTCTCTTGGCCTCCTTTCCCTCTGACTGGCGTCCCATGGGATCCTGCCATCTGTCCTCTGAGGAGTAAGAGTGTGTTTTTCTAAGTCCAGGGTCCATACTCTGCTGCTCTCTTCCTTCTTTTTCTCAGGATCCTGAACTCAATCATCTCGTGGTTGTTCCTGCCCAAGTTGCCATCCACTACTACATTCCCCACCAATTCCTTCCTGTTTGTGAGCAGCAGGTCGAAAAGAGCACAACTCTAACTGGCCTCTCCAACACTTGCACCAGGAAGTTGACCCCAGCACTCTCCAGAAACTTCCTGGGTTGCCTGTGCACTGCTGTACTGCCCTCCCAGCATGTCAGGGTGATTGAAGTCCCCCGTGAGAACCACGGCCTGTGATCAGGAAACTTTCGCTATATGTCTGAAGACTGTTTCATCCACCTCATCCTCCCTGTCTGGTGGTCTGCAGCAGGTACCCATCATGATGTCACTCTTGTTGCTCTTCCCCTCCAGCCTTAACCCAGAGACTTTCAGCAGGCCTATCTAGTTTTGTACTCTGAGCAATCATACACTTCTTTTACATAAAGCGCAACTCCTCTTCCTCTTCTCCCCTGCCTGTCCTTCCTGAACAGATTTATACCATCTATGACAGGGCTCCAGTCCTGCAAGCTATCCCACATCTTTGTTATTCTAATCACTTCATAGTTCTGTGACTGTGCAAGGAATTCCTGTTTATTTCTCAGGCTCTGTGCATTTGTGTACGGACACGTGAGGTAACTAGCCAAGTGGCCTACTTTCTCAGGAAGAATGAGGAGGCCTTCCTTGTTGCCCGCTGCTGCTTTTGCTTCCTCCAGGTCACCCTTTTCCTCACTTATGTCAGGGCTTTGATCTCTATCCCCCCATGAACCTAGTTGAAAGCCCTCTTTAACAGGTTAGCAAGCCAGTCTGCAAAGATGCTTTTCCTCTCTTCATCAGGTAAATCCCAATCCCATCTCTTCCTCTCATGCTTCATCTCACTATGCCTCAATTCTCTATTCATTCTATCTGGTAATATTTATTCTTCTGTCTCTCTGCCCTGTTTTGTATGTGTAGATCAGTGATGCTTAACCAAGCTGCCATGGCTCCCTAGAGTGCCTTGAAATTCTTAGAGTGCTGCAATGTTTCATTCAGTGTTAGCACTGTTAGGTATGTAAACCTGAATTACAAGATAACCCAGAGATTTCAAATAGTATTTCATAGTGTTAAAATCATCCTGTCCAGTTATGGTCTTTCTGAGTTCTTTACAGCAGAAAAACTTCTGTATTATATTTCTGTACTCAAAAAATGAGTGAAAACTAAGAGCTGACATTTTCTGAATGGTACTTTGAGCCTGAGGAGGGGTGTCTTGAGTCTAAAATGGTTGAGAAGCACTGTGCTATAGACTGTATATATGTAGTGAAAGATGATCCTTGCCCAGAAGAGGTTACAGTCTGTCTACTTTAGTGGTTCTGAACCTTGTTAGACTCAAAGCATCCCTCGGAAAATATCAGCTCTTACCTTTCATTTGTTTTCTGACTACAGGAAAATACTAGAGTAATTCCTTTGTTTCAGAGAACTCGAAAAGACTGCCATAGGTCTGAGTATTTTTAACGGTATGAATTCCTACCTGAAATCTCTTGAGCTTTATCTTGTGAATCACATGTTGGTGTTTCCACACCCTTGTTGCATCATGATTGAGAATCACTGTGTTACTCCAATATAAATAATACTACTGTTAATTTAACATTTTTAACATCAGCAGCAATGGAAAATACTTGAGCTTGTTATCACGGGGAATTCTACCAAGCAACAAAAAATAATTTCTTTTAGCAACTGGGCTGCTCACCATTGAATGTAGTAAAACAGATTTAAAGAAAAAGCTGTGATACAGAATGAAAGTCTGCAATTTTTAATCTCATTTCAGTTGTTAAAGACCAAAAGAAGAGCAAAGAGAAGAAATCCAAAGATTGTATTAGATCGAAGTCAAAGAAAAAGAAGAAAAAGAAATCTAAGCCTGGTAAAAACGTTTTTCATAGGATGAGGCTTTATTTTTTAAGTTTTCCAATTTTTGTCTCAAATGCTGAACTCATGACCAGTTCATAGTATGTAGAAGAAATTGTGTTCTGTTTTAATCACTACCAATTATAACCAATTAAGGGTGAATTATAACCAATTAAGAGTGAATGGCGTGACAGCTAATATTGGCCATCTGGTTTGGAGGGGGGGGGCAGAGTGGGAAGCTCATAAATGCATGAATACCTTTTTTCTGCTACAAAAAAGATTTGTCTGTCTTTGGGACTGTCTTCTATTATAATGCCGTATAATACCATATACGCTTCACTTATGTGAAGTAAAATTTATTTAATTATATAGTCATTCAGCCTTTTTCATGAAGGACAGAAAACTTTTTCAAAATAAACTTCTTCTCAACCGTGCCAGTAAAACTGTCATGTGCCATTTTGATTCTTTGGGCCTTATTAGTTGGTTTTATTGCCTGTGATCTGAAATTGGTATGTCTCTGAAATCCTCGTTATTGTTGGCTAGGTATCCAACACCAGAGCCTTTGTCAGCAAACCACAAACTGGAATCTCAGCTGTGGGATCTCATCTCTACCTAAGGAATCATATTCATTCTATAATCCAGTACCCTGCCCTAGCAGTCAGTGATCACAATCATTTCCTTTCAGATTTCCTATTACCTTGATGTTTGCAACCATTTCTCCCTTGTGATAGACAACCCACTTGTATCCTCAATTCTGTGAAACAAAGTTGTCATTATACATAGCTGTCTGGTAATCCCTCCTTTAAGGGCTTTTACTGGCTGCCACTTGGGACTAGGAAATAATTTTTCCCCCTTTTTGAGTGCTACTGGTTGTTTACCTTCTTTTTAACCTTCCGCCCGTCCTCCCCCAAGAATGCTTCTGCTGGTGCTTAGAAAATGCAACATTCCTTACTTGGTCATGGCTGTCACCAAAATTGGGGTCAGGAAGGAATAAGTTTGATTGACATGGACTGTGGAAGTTTTTGCTTTCCTATGTAGTGTTGGTCATGATCTTTTTCCTAGGATCTTCAAAGAATATTTTAACCAATTACTTCACTGTCATTGCAGTATCAGGATATTTATAGTTTGCTTGTCTTCTCTGCTTTACATTTGGCAAGTTGAAGACTGGTGATGGTGTGCATTGTAATTATGTGTAAAGGTTTAACATGGTATGTTTTGGGATTCCTTTCGTAAATGTTTGTGTGAATGCAACTATTTGATAGACTCTCGCCCTGGAAGCCCTTCCAGTTTGTGAGCGAGTGCCCGTCCTGGGTATCCGGTAATCAGATAACTCCCCCCAATTCCTGCCTGCCACGACTTGATCTAAATGAGATTTGTGAGGGGGGGAGTAATAGTTGTTAGATCCCGGTACCCCGATAATAACCACGCGGGTCAGATCTTCAATGCAGGTGCTTTATTAAAGTAAATCAGGCTCTCTCTCCCTCCCTTGTACTGGGATTGCTCGGTCTTGCCGCAATTCCCACGGTCTGCCTTCTTGGAGTGACATAGGGTTACTGGTTTGCTTGATACATAATAACCCGTCCTCAACAAGGCTAATTAACGCCTGTTGGCCGCTGGCACAGGGATTCTCCTTCTGGAGCTGCAGTTTGTGCCGGCTTCTAAGCCCGGCTTAGTCAGTTTCCTCTCCAGCAATAATCAACTGTTAACAAGTCAGTTAACAGCTGATTGACCTAATGCCGGGATTCCCACTCCAGCTGGGGCTTGTGCCAGCTTCTAAAGCCCGGCTTCGTCAATTTCGCTTTTTTCTCTTTCTTTCACTTTCCGCAGTCTCTGTTTCCCTTTTTCTCTGAGGAGAGCCTGGGATTACTGGACTCTGTCAGGGCTTCTCCGCCCTTTTCTCTCTGTCTCTTTTCTCTTTTTCCCCCCCTCGCTCGGGGAATTCCCGTGCTAAACCCCTTGGAGCGGCGGGTGGGTTCCCCGCCCCCGCCCTCTGGGTAAACCACC